ACCTGATTTTCGACAAAGGAGCAAAAATTGTACAATGGAAGAAAGAAAGCATCTTTAACAAATGGTGCTGGCAGAACTGGCTGTCAATATGTAGAAGAATGAAAATAGATCCACATCTATCACCATGCACAAAACTCAAGTCCAAATGGTGTATAGACCTCAATATTAATCTGACCACACTGAACCTGATAGAAGAGAAAGTGGGAAGTAGTCTGCAACATATGGTTACAGGAGACCACGTCCTTCATAGAACCCCAGTAGCACAGACAATAAGAATAACAATGAATAAATGGGACCTCCTGAAACTGAGAAACTTCTGTAATGCAAAGGAAACTGTCATTAAGACAAAAAGGCAACCTACTGAATGGGAGAAGATCTTCACCAACTCCACATCAGACAAAGGTCTGATCTCCAAAGTATAAAATGAACTCAAGAAACTAGACATAAAAATTCCAATTAACTCAATTAAAAAATGTAGCACTGAACTGAACAGAGAATTCTCAACAGAAGAAGTTCAAACGGCCAAAAGACACTTAAGGTCATGCTCAACCTTCTTAGCGATCAGGGAAATGCAAATCAAAACAACTTTGAGATACCATCTTACATCTGTCAGAATAGCTACAATCAAAAACACCAATGATAGCCTATGCTGGAGAGGTTGTGGAATAATGGGAGCACTCATCCATTGTTGGTGGGAATGCAAACTTGTGCAACCACTTTAGAAATCAGTGTGGCAGTTTCTCAGGAAACTGGGAGTCAACCTACCTCAGGATCCAAAAATTCCACTCTTGGGAATTTACCCAAGAGATGCCCAATCGTACTACAACAGCATTTTTTCATCTATGTTCATAGCATCTCTATTTGTAATAGCCAGAACCTGGAAACAGCCTAGGTGCCCCTCAATAGAAGAATGGATAAAGAAGGTGTGGCAATATACACTTTAGAGTTCTACTCAGCGGTAGAATCAATCACACCTTGAATTTTGCATGCAAATGGATGGAAATAGAAAACACTTTACTGAGTGACATAATCCAGAACCAAAAAGATGAATATGGTATGTATTCACTCATAAGTGGATTCTAGCCATAAACAAAGGACATTGAGCCTATAATTCGTGAACCTAGAGAAGCAAAATAAGAAGGTGAACCCCAAGAAAAAACATATGTTTATCCTCCTGGATACTGGAAGTAGACAAGATCGCTGGGCAAAAGTTAGGAGCACGAGGGTGGGGGTGGGTTGTGGGGAAGGGGGGTGGGGGAATGGGGAGAGAGAAGGGAGAAGGGGAGGATTGAGGAGAGCTTGGGGAAATGGGATGGTTGAGATGGATGAATGGTGCATATAGAAACAAGGAACAAGGTATCTTAACTAAGGGAACCATTTTAGGGTTGGCAAGAAACTTGGCTCTAGAGGGGATTCCAGGTGTCCACGGGGATGTTCCCAGCTAGGTCCTTGGGTAACAGAGGAGAGGGTGCCTATACTGGCCTTCTCTCATAGCCACACTGATGAATATCTTGCATATCACCAATGGAACCTTCAGCTGGCGATGGATGGAGATAGAGACAGACACCCACATTGGAGCACTGGACTGAGCTCCCAGGGTCCAGGTGAAGAGCAGAAGGAGGGAGAACATGAAAAAGGAAATCAGGACTGTGAGGAGTGCATCCACCCACAGAGACAGTAGGAATGATCTAATGGGAACTCACCAAGGCCAGCTGGACTGGGACTGATGGAGCATGAGATCAAACTGGACTCTGTGAATGTGGCTGACAATGAGGGATGACTGAGAAGCCAAGGACAATGGCACTGAGTTTTGATTCTATTGCATGGTCTGGCCTTGTGGGAGACTAGTCTGTTTGGATGCTCCCCTTCCTAGATAGACCTGGATGGAGTGGGGAGAACCTTGGACTTCCCACAGGACAGGGAATCCTGACTGATCTTAGGACTGGAGAGGGAGGGGTAGGGGAGAGGAAGGGGGAGGGAAATAAGAGGAGGGGAGGATGTGGAAATTTTTAACAAAAAAAATCTTGAGAACATTAGGGGCAATGGACCATGATTATTCAGGTGGGCAGCATTTTTATTAGAATAAATTACTTGAAAATAAAAATAAAATTGAAAAGCAGTTAAGAGCTACTGCTTACATCCAGGATATGAGAATTACCACTGAACCCATTGTGTTACTGAACTGGTCTTTCAAGTTTATAGGTGTCATAACTGTATTGGACTGTTAGTTGCTTCTCTCTAAGAAAGCTTATGCGTTCATAGGATTTTTAAATCGTATTTTTCCTTGCTTGATTTGATGTTTTATAAACGTTAACAAATAAATACAACAACATGTAAATGAGTTCCAGATGCAACATCTCTCTTTAACCCTGCTCAGCTTTAACTAACTAGGAAGTCCAGATTCATCTCTTTTTTTGGGGGGGGAGGGCTAGGACATTTTAACAGCTTTTTTAAGGTACAGTTGTCATCCAGGAAATTGCACATATTTAAAGTTTGTACAGTAATTTTGACATTGGGTTATGTAAATCAACATTAGACTTACCCAAAGATGATAAATATAGCTAGGTGCTGGGTGTGTAGCTCAATAATAAAGCATGCACTGTAGAAGGCTCTGGAGATATCTGCTCCACAACACAAGAAACAGATTCACCTCTTTCTTCTCTCCCATTCCCTTTTTTCTCTCATCCCCATTCTATTTCTTGTGTTTTCTTTGACTCATTCTTGTTTCCATATTATCACTGATTTCAGTGGATGTTAACTTTTATGTAGAGCAGAATGAAACTGTCAAAGTGATGGAGTCAGGTAAAATCAAGAAGCAAATTCATTTTTTACTACCAGGTTAATTTCCATAGTAGTATAGTCATATAAAATTTAAGTGTAAATGAGTAGACTAGTATTTACTGTGACTAGGACATTACTAAGTTGTCTTGGCTGATTCTGTTCTAAAATTGTTTCTTCTCTTTTCATAATAATAGTTTGATTTAGAAGAATAATTCTTTAGTATCAATAAAAATGTTTCAGGATGACATTTAAAGGATTTTCAACAGACATTCTTGCAAAAGTTTAAAAATCTAATGTATGTTGTTTAGTAAAACTGTAATACATGCTTATAGTAATTATATTCCTAGATGCATCTAATATAATGTTAGCATATTAAGAAATTAAAAATTAATACAAATTTTACACGAATTTGTAAAATTTAAAATTTTTAAAATTTCCATAATTCAAATTTTATACAAATTTGATCTGTGATTTCATAAGTAAATTTCACTTAGGTTTTAATAAAACACTTGTCACGTTTAGATACATCTTATAATTCTGTTATGTTCTTTGCCTGAGATATGCTACAATTGTTGTCAGCATCATGTTCAATTCATTCAGATTTTGCCTTTTCTGGTGTCTTGTGGCTGCCTGCATTCCTATGATGGTTCCTTTCACCTTTTGAATGTTCTGGGAAAAAAAAAACCTACCTTTCTTTATGAATTCTTTTCCTAGTTTAGTCCTCCTGTGACTTGAATGTCTGCCTAAATTTCCCTGTTTTAAAGGGACCTGTGATGATGCTGATGCCACTCAAATGACCCCAGGACAATTTACACTCAAAAAATGCAATATGAATATGCTGACAAATTCAGTTTTCTGTGTTTGAAAACTAAATGTGTAAGATTTTCGTATTAAAAGAGTTTAAATTGCTTCTTTTATGTTTTTGGTATTGTAATTACATTCCCTTTCCTTTTTTCCCTTACAAATCCTCCCATATATTACTCTCTCTTTCATATATATATATATATATATATATATATATATATATATATATATAGAGAGAGAGAGAGAGAGAGATACACATAAACACATATATTATTTCTAAAAGGAACATGCTCACATAATGTCACTTATATGCCTAATACAATGATACCTAAGGTCCAAGAACTAGAGGGGAAGAGGGGGTAGAAAGATTGTAAGAATCAAAGAGTCAAGGGGATTGCTCTAAAATTCTAGGGATATTAGAAACACTTCTAAGTTGTCACCAACATGATAATCTAAAGATGAGCTGAACAAAGCAATCAATAGCCAGGGAAACTCTACAAGTCCTAAACTATACACAAATAAAAACTTCAGGAAACAAGCAACTAAGGAATACTGACAGTGGGAGAAATAGTCTTCCTTAGTCTTTTTTTTTTTTGGTATGGTCATTGTGCTTATCTCACAAGTTATGTCTTCCATCTTCAAATATTGCCATAATTTCTTATATTTAAATCTAAGCAAGAAGATGACTTTCTACTAATTTCAATGAAGTGCATAAATTGAACAATAAGTAAATAGCAGATGTGAAGAATTTAAGTGCAGTACTAAAATAATAAGTGTCCAGTCTTTTCAGTTAAGAAATAGAATGCTTTGACTCTCGTGTGATGGCACAGGCTAGATGAGGAAGGAAAATTGCCAAGACTTACAGTTCACCTGCAATCACAGAAACATTTAATCTCCAAAACATAAACAGAAAAGAAAATAAAAATAAATATTATACTGTAAGGATAATTAAAGCCTATTATATAGCTATGCCAAATCATGTACCTCTAAGTTATTCATAGTTACAAACAATTATGTGGTAAATTAAGTAGTACATATATCATTTTTATTTTACTTTTAGTGAATGAATATACAAATATTAAAGTCTTTTAATTTGTTCATTATTATTTATTTATCCATGGCAATTTAATTTAAATAGCAAGATTTTCTGGATTTATTCATAATGATATTCATAGACATGTTCAACTTACTTTGTGGTTGTATCTTTTATATGTGAAGGTATTACAACTTGTTTAACTGTTCTTACACTTAATCATTTTTGACATTTTCTTATTCCCTTACTAACATGAACAAAATTTGTATGTTCTTTCCCTGATGTTAAAAATAAAGATTCCTTAAAGACAAAAAAGTATGAAATTCTTAAATGAGATATGAAAATTTATTTTATTCAGAAATAAATATGTGGTGTTTAACAAAGAAGAGTTGAATTTTCTGAAACTGTCTTCTAATGACAAACAAACAGTAGTTTACACTTATTACCTCGCCTGCTGTTCATCTTGCTCTGATGAAGCACTGTCATCACAGATATCAATCGCGAGGTTTTCTACTACACTGAAGAGAAAGAAAATACAAAATAAGTTGTCTATGGAATTTCTAGGCATCCTAGACAGGAAACATACTTTTAAATCCAGCATGTTTACAAGTGAGATTAAAACAGGTATGTGCCTGGGGATATTTTAGTTAGGCGTTTGTACAAGCCCTTTCCAGGAGACAAGCTGGAAGTGAGGCTGGCTTAGGCTAGGAGTCCTGAAGTTAGTAGATCAAGGGGGAACCTAAAGTCAACAAACCAGTTTGGGATACATAGAAATACCTCTTTTCAGAATTGGAAACATCCTGCAATCTGAAGCAATAATCCTGGGCCTGAACTACCCTTATGCACCACCTGTTAAGAGATCAAACTGTCCCCTGGGGTAGGTGCAGCCTTTCACAAAACCCTCTGATTGTACCTAGCCTTTGGGGAACACTGGGCTTCAAGTCATCATCAAATTGAGAATCGGGAGAATCCCTCGGGCGCTTTGGAGTTTTGCTTGTAGACTTCTTCTCCTTGGATGGCATGTCTATTGTGCCCCGGTTTTTGTCCCAACTCCTAAACCTTGCGATTGCAACGACATACAAAATTCCCAGTTATTAAATGAGAGTCACAGAAACAAGTACCAGGGTCCATGGGAAGAGAGACAGGGCATCGTCTCTCTGTGCTGGAGCAGGGAGGTTCATGGAAGATTACAACGGTGTGGTACCCTATCTTGTCTCTTCTCCACTGATGAATGTGAAGGTGACTCTGTCCTGCACACCTCCACTTCTACCCCTTCTGCTGGGTTCCTGCGTTTGGAAGGGAGTGGGGGCAGGCAAAATAGTAGCCTAAAGACCCATCTCTGGCCAGTCCTGGCCTAGTTGTTTATTTGGTGGCCATCTTGGAGTGTGGTGCACTGTATTTCCTTTATTTTTGCTTTGGAAAGGGCAGAGGGAGTGCACCCATGACCTGTGACAGTTGGCCTTCTCGGTGTACTGCTGCCATCAAGCAGCATTGTTTCTCTGCCCGCAGCTCCCCAGTGCTTCTGCTGACATGGCTGAGGGCTGGCTAAAGAGTAGCTCCCATAGTGCCCCCACTGTGCCTAAGCCAGTCTCCTGCAGTCTCTGTGACCCATGAGTGGTGCGGGAGCAACCGGACCAAGGGGAACTGCGTGGCCACCACAGTCCTTGGTTTGCTGGGCAAGGGAAGCACAGCCTCTCAGGTCCTGAAGTCACCATGTCTGGCAGGGTTAGAGAACCTCCCTGCAGGGGATTCTGCATCCTGGGTTGCCTCTGGGTTCCTTTGGAGACCTTGTGGAGCCTGCCAGCCCACATCATGTGCACAAGCCCGCCCAGGGAACCTCTAGCTTTTGGTACAGTCTCCCCAGCAGAACACACAACTCCTTCCCTGAAACTGCACACACAGCCCAGAATATCTGGCCAGGTGCTCAGGGTCTCAGGGCCAGGTAACCATTATGGCAAAGTGTCTGTCATCCACATAAATCCCTCCCTGTCATCCTCTCTCCTCTCTTTCTGCAGGGCCCTCCTTTCTTTCCTTTGCTTTCTCTGAGAAATGGCTTTCCCCTTGAGCCATGCTGTGCTTGCAATTCAGGGACCTGTACCTGCCAGAAGATGTTTCTGATCTACAGCTACATCCCCAGAACCCTACAAGGGGTCTGAGAGAAGGCACCTGCCACCAACATCATCATGTACCTCCTTCTTGTGTGTACCTAGTGGGTACCAAGCTCAATGCGGTGTGGTGGCTTAGGGTGAATCCAAGTAGAAGTAGCCAGATCAGGATGTCGAATGTAGGGTGCCCAAATTGACCAGGCAGGCCTCTGGGTACCATCCAGGCCAGGTTTCACTGCCCTTGCCACCCCTGACAAAGCTCCTCTCTTTGATACGGGGCACCCATGTAGGTGGCATATACCTGCCTTCTGCTGTCTAGGCCACCCTACATAATACCCAGGGAGAAGTCACAAGGTCAAGGATTCAAAAGCCCCTTCTCCCTCTCTGCGCTGTCCAGGCATCATCACAGCTACAAGAATACTCAGAGAAGGCTCTGTAATTAACAGAGGGTAATACCTGGCCTTCTTGAACTTTAAACTCATGTGTGTGTGTGTGTGTGTGTGTGTGTGTGTGTGTGTGTGTGTGTTTTGGTTTATACTGTATCCCTGTCTTGGAGACAAGTCCTGGGAGAGACCATAAGAAGTTCCTCAGAGGTATGTAACAGTTCTGTTGGTCAGCTCAGGGTTAAAGGCGTATGGCACGTTGGCACATAGGTGAAGACTTTTAAGACTCCATCCTTCAGTTCCAGCTCATGCGGTCATAAGCATGGAGTGGTCCAGTACATGGTGCATGTTTGTGGGGTGGCAGGTATCTTTACATGCAGCTTGATGGATGAGAGAATTTTGTAGGAATCATATGGAAGTGGCAGTACCCTCGTTCTGACTGGCCTGCTTGGCATTTCTAGGAACTCAGAGCCCACTGCCCCACACAGACATCCCCCAATATATCTTGACAGACACACACAGAGGATAACTTAAGCTAGATAATCCCTCAAAGGCATGCACATAGGCTCTTTTATTTATTATAGGTCTTGTTGGCAATCCACTAAAACATCACATCATATAAATTAAAATTATCAAAGAAATGTCAGATCTGGACTAGATGATACATAGATTAGATTTAACACATACCTAGAGACTACTTTAGTAAATTGGAATGGCATACACATTCTTCTTGGCACCCTATGGAATCTCTTTTAAAATATACCACATGTGTTGGTTTTCTCTGCAAATTAAATCTTAAGAAATGCAAAACAATAAATACAGTTTGAGGAAATAAAAATAGAATTCAAAAAAAGCACAGAAACTATGCAAATGTGCAGATGATGAACATACACATACTTTATGAGGCTTAAAAGTTAGCAAAGTGAGATTCATTATGACATTTTTATTCCCTCCCTTTTATTATTTATTTTTATGTGTATGGGTATTTTGCCTGCACATATGTCTGTGCACCACATACATGCCTGGTGCCTGCAGAAGTCAGAAGACGGTATCATATACCACTAGGGCTGGAGTTACAGATAATTGTTAGACAACATGTGGATCTGGAAATCAAACCCAGGTCCTCTGGAAGAGCAGCCAGTTCCCTTGACTGCTAAGCCATCTCTCCACTCTTCCCTTTTCCATGGTGGTCTTCCTTCTGTAGTGACATCCCAGATCCCATGACTCCCTCCTACTGGTTCATTGCTTCCCTCAATAGTCATCCTGTGCTGGTGTGAGTGACATGTCTCCTACATTCTCAGGCATTTCAATAATTGGTCCCTAGTTTTTGGCTGTTTGTGGGTGTTTTAGGAGGCATGACCTTCCTAAAGAAATTATGTTCCTAGGGGTATGTTGTTTTGAAAGCTGAAAGAATCACACCATTTCAAGTCACTCTCTCAGTCTCTTACTTGTGGCTTGAGATAAGAGCTCTCAGCCCCTATTCCAGGTACCATATTTGCTGATTGCTGCCATACTTTCCCTCCTTGATGGACTCATTTCCCTCTGGAACCATAAGACAAATAACTTCTCCATTCCACAAGTGCCTTGGTTAATGTCTTTTATATCAGTAATAAAACAGTAACTAGTAAGCACCCCTTTATGTCATATGTATTCAATTACACTTCTTAATTTTCCCCCTGTAGATCTCTTTTCTCCTCTCTTGCTTCATTATTTAGTTTTATGTCCTTTACCATATAACTACACATATGTATACTAATATTTAAAAATTAAGTCTCAATTCCACATATGAGAAAAAAAAACTCTGATAATTCTCTCTTTCCAAATCTGTACTTCTTCACCTAACATAAAATCCTGCAATTCTGTTTCCCTCCAAATGCCATGATTTCAACAATCTTTCCAGTAGAATAAAATTCCAATGGGGATTTTACATTTTATCTATTCATCTCATAATGGAAAGGAATGGTTCCATTTAACTATTGTGGATATTACGGCAGTAAACATGAATTGCAAGTATGTCAGATATAAGACTTAGGGTCTTTTGAGTATTTGTCTAGAAATGTTTTAGTTAGGTCTCATAATACTTTTTTTTTATTTTTGAAAACCTATGTCCTGATTTATACAGTTGGCACCAGTTTACATTCCACCGGGTATACAAACAGGAAAGGAAGAAGCCAAATTTTCCCTATTTATAGATAATATAATCTATCCCTTAAAGTCTTCAGTAGAAAACTCACATACAGACACTTTCAGCAAAGTAGCAGGATACAAAATCAACATAAACATCAGAAGCTTTTCTATATATCATGCTAAGAAAGAAATAAAGGAAATAAAATCAATTTTTAATAACATTAAAAATAATAGGTGCTAAGAGATAGCTCAGTGTATAAAGCACTTGACATACATATGAACAAGTGTTCAACTCTGCAGGACCCAAATAAATGGAAAGTGTGGCTGCTCATCTGTACTTTAGAGACCAGAAATCACAAGGGACATGCTAACTAGCTAGACAAGCCAAATTATGTTTGTTTCGGTGAAAAAATAATAATGTGTTGAGTCTTCAATGACAACCAAAATCAACATAGGGTCTCTACATGTGCATACACAATATGAACATATACCCATTCACATGTGCACCTACATATGTAAAAATACACTACACATTCATGCCAACAACACACAAATGCAGGTATGCTCATGTACATGTACATACACGCATACATGGACACACACACAAGGTGGGGTTAGAGGAACATAAGTAGGCAGGGTAAATGAAGGCAGGCTACCTCAGATGGTGTCTTCTTGTTCCCAAAAAGATCCTGCCAGGAGAAATAGCGTGAAGGCACACAGGTGTGCTCTAACTGAGAAAAAGTGGCTTGTGTGAGAAAGATGCCTGCGACAAGCTCAGGTAGAGGGTTTTTTTAATTGGAGGAAAGTGAATGGGAAAATGGGGTGGGAAGCGGGGGAGCCCGGCTTCTGGAGACAGGAGTAGCAGACAGAAGAAAAGAAAAGGGAGGGAGAGAGAGAGAGGGA